CTGACCCCTTCCAGGTATCATACCTCCACACGTCTGAACAAAAGGACATGGAGCTCCCTTTTTGGAAGCTTTTCAGTAGAACCAAGAATGTGCCATGACTCTGGTAAGAGGGAGGCATTTGTCAGGGCTTCACCAACCCTCAGTTCTCATGAATTATCATATAGTAATAGATAACACGGAGGCACCGCACCCTACTGAGCTGGGGAGTGACATGCTCGGACCTCAGCTGGAGTAAAATCACTTTGGTAGGTGCTCAGAGAGTGGAGTAGAGCAGCGCTTCTTAAAGTGTGGGTCGTGAGCCCGTATGTGGGATCGAAAAAATTTGGCAATGGTACCAGTTTTCTGAACACACAACGACCAAAAATTAATTCAAAATCAAAGGCGTAATGAACCGAGGTGTTTCTGGCAGCCCTTGCCCGTGTTGCATCATACGACTTTACTGCAGCCTTGGTTCTGAGCACACAACACACGCACTTTGCCTGGTGCGTGCCCTCACACCATCACGCACCGCCAACAAACAGTGCCAGAAACACCTTGGCTCAGATTCGAGACTATTGTATGTTGTGAATTTCAGTGTTTCTAGTGTACGTACAAAACTGTTCAATGAATTTTGGCTTGGGATTAGGACAGAATTTCCAACAATTTCTGAAATGGCCCTAGACATACTTATGCCATCTTGTATTATGTGTTTATGCAAAGTGGAGTTCTTAGCATTGACGATCATAAAATCAAAATATCGATCAACTCTGAAAAATGTTAAAGATGGTCTCTGTCCTGCAGTATCAAATATTCCACCAAGATTTAATTCTTTATGTAAAAATAAACAAGCACATCCATCTCATTAGTATGCAAATTTGCTTTCATCTTTAATAAGTGGTAAAATTATATGTATATCAAAGAATTGTTTTAAAATAAATTTCTTTATGATTTGTTATTATGATAATAAATATTATTTATATATATATATATACCTACATACCTGGAGTCATGTAAAAATTTCTCAGGTGAAAAGGGGTTGAGAGTAGAAAAAGTTTAAGAAGCGCTGGATTAGAAAAGGAAGAGTCAAGGCAGGGAGGCTAGTTAGGAAGTGATTAAGTGTGTAGGTGAGACATGAACGCACTCCCTCCTCATCTCTGACCCTTAGCATCTCCAGTTTCCTTCAAAGCTGAGTTCAAGCATCGTTACTTACCTTCACAAAACCTTTCCTGAGCCCCCAGCTGCCAGTACTCTCCTTCTATAAGAAAGTGACCTCATATTTATTGTGTGTATTTTAAGGATATATTTATATGTATTCATGTCATCTCTCAGATAAAATGTAAGCTTCCTGAAGGCAAGGACTGCTTCATTCTTGTTCCTTCCAACTTTAAATCTGATTCTATGAGTTGGGTTTGATTATTGACTCTGCTGTTCATTACCTGTGTGACTTTGGGCAAGGCCTTTTAAATGGAGGGAAGGCTGAGCCTCATTTTCCCCATATGTAAAATGAGGGGAGGGGGGATTAGATGGGCTGAAGTCTTTTCCTGCTTTTGACCTATGATCCTATAAACTGACACTAAGTATCTCCTCCTGCCAGAGCATTGGCTCAAGGTGGAATCATCTTTGTACGCAGAAGCTCAGACACTTTCTCAAGCTTGGGAAGACTGTGAGCTAGCCCTGATCTTTTGCTGTGTTTTGGCTAGGCTTTGGGGTTAAGTGACTTGCCTGGGGTCACACAGCTATTATTATGTATCTGAGGCTGGATTTGAACTCAGGAAGATGAGTCTTCCTGATTCCAAGCCCAGTGCTTTATGCACTGTGCCACCTAACTGCCCCTTTTGAGAGTTGTTTTCTGTCAATTAGAGGTGTCCAAAAATGAAATTAGTTGCCTCATTCATTCACTTATTCATTCATCAAACCTTTATTAAGTACCTACTATGTGCCAGGGACTTTGCCATCCGTGGAGGTGTTGAAAATTAATGTGGACAAAGGTTTGTTGAACTGTGTAAGGGGTGTGGGAGGATTTTTGTATCTGATAAGTAATTGGACTACAATTTAGTGGTGGGGAACCTACGGGCTGCACTTGAGGACCTAGAGAGCCACATGTGGCCTCAAGGCTGCAGGTTCCCCACCCCTGGACTAAATGACATCTAAATCCAACTCCTTAGGGGTTTTATGTTTGCAGGCAAATACAAATAATAAATAGAATGGGATGCTTCAGTTCCCTTCGACTGAAGGGATGGCAAGGAACCATGGTCATCAATGAGTAACTCCAAGGTCAATGTTTGAGCTCATCCCCTTGATGGTAACTGCTAAATCTGGGCTTCTTTTGACTTGCTCAGTTGAAGCCCAGTGGACTCCCGGCATCTCCTTTTCTAGGGCAAATGTCCCAGTGGGAGTCTCTTGTCCTTAAGTTCTTCCTGCCATTGCTTGCCTTGGCTACTGGGGACAAGCTGCTGGTGGTGCCCATGGATGGCAGCCACTGGCTCAGCATGCTTCCTGTTCTGGAGCAGCTCAGCCTAAGGGGCCATGAGGTGGTGGTCCTCCTGCCCCACAGGAGCTTGTGGATGAAGAGCCAGGACACCTTTACTGCTAAAATGTACCAAGTCCCATACACCAAAGAGCAGCTCAGTGAAGCCTTGAACGTCTTTGTGCTGGCCAATCTCCAGAAGCACTCATGGCCACTGCCTTTTGTCAAGATTTTGCAAAGTCTAGAGTCATTTATGAAGGTTATGGAGACTTCGTGTGAGAGTTTGCAGAAGAGCACTGAGCTCATCCAGGACCTGCAAGAGAGTCACTCTGACGCCCTCCTCACCAACCCCCTGTTAGTCTGTGGGACGATCCTCGCTGAGCACCTCTCTCTTCCTTCTGTCTACCTGAGCCGGGGGCTGATATGCAACTTGGACTACAGCTCAGCCCAGTGTCCAAGCCCCCCTGCCTATGTGCAGAGGCTCTTTTCCAAATTCACGGATCATATGACCTTCCCGCAAAGGCTGGCCAACATCTTCATCTCCTCCATGGAGCACTGGTATTGCTACTACTCACACTCCACGTTTGATAGAATTGCCTCAGAGTTTCTTCACAGGGACGTGCACGTCAGGGACCTTTGAAGCAGGATGCCATTTGGTTGTTGAGATATGATTTTGTTTTTGAGTTTCCTCGGCCAGTCATGCCCAACATGGTCTTTGTTGGAGGCTTACACTGCCACCCGAGTAGACTTCTGCCTGAGGTAGGCCCTCTTTCTGCTCAATAGGAACTTCCATCCAATGGGATATGGGGGAGAGGCAAGAGTGGAGGTGGCCTCCATGCTCTTTCTTGAATACCCCAACTCAGCATTTGCTACCCCTGAGACTTGGAAGGAATCACTTTGCTTCTTCAGGGCTCAGGGGACTCAATTTGTAAGGGAGAGAACTGGACTCCATGACTTCTGGCTCTGCATTTAGTCTTCTGAGATTCAATTTGTTCACATGTTCTCTTTCCCCTTCCCCCATCATTAGTTTGTAGACTCTTTGAGAACATTCGTGGAGGCCGGCCCCTGCAGACAGTGAGGATCTTTGTGGTTGAATGAGTGAATGATTGCAGATTTCTGGCTTTTCTTTGAGGGGAGAGATAAGTGGCAACTCTGACCTTTGCCTTTTCTTGGAACCTGCCTATCTTTGAGATCTCTAGGAAATCCGTCCCTAAGAGGGTCTGACAACCTTTCCATTGTGCTACCTCTGGTGCAGATTCCTTCTGAGTCTTTGATTATGGATTGCCATGGCCAAAAATAAGCAAATAAATAAATACATAAGGGAAGACCTCAATCGCAAAGAGTGGACTCCTATGGAAAACCTATAGGAGGATGTACAGACATAAATCTTCTGTGTTGGGCAGCTATGGGTGGACCACAACTTGATCATCAGTGGGAGCTACAGAATCCGTGAGACGCTAAGTCCAGTGAGGCCTTCAATCGGGCCTCCAGCACTTTCCAGCCTCGACTTCCTAAGAGCCATGCCCCCTTCCTCACATGGTAGTTTGAGGTCGGAGGAGGATGAATTCCAATGCGTGATGGTCCCACCCTATGGGTAGAACAAACATGGCAGATCCCTCTTGTCAATGGCCTCTGAAGCCCCTTCCAGCTCTGTCTATGATCCTAATTGATGTGTTTACTTTTGCTCGTTTCTCCTGCTTCTGACTTGACTGTCTATTTAAACAGGTCAGGGGGGAGCTGCTGTGACGGTTTCCAGGGTCTTGGGTCAGGGGAGGTCCTTGAGCTGTGCTTTGAAGGAAGTTAGGCATTCTGAGAGATGGAGGTGTGGAGAGGGAGACGACTCCACTCGGGTAAAGGCACGGAGGCAGAGGGTGGACTGTCCTGTACGGGGGCCATCTAGCAAGCCAGTTGAGGCAAAAAGAAAAGGATTTCAGTTGGTGAGACCATGGCGTCCTAATTTGTTAGCAGTAGAGAATCAGCTACAGTCATGTCAAGCCTTTCAAAAAGTGCCAGGGTGTTTCTGCCCTGTTCAGGTTCTCTTGATGCCGGCAGCCTGGATCCTCTCCATGAGCCTGAGGCAGGGCAGGATCTCCAAGGGCTAAAGCCGGACTTGCATTTGCAAAGTTGTTTGGCTGGTTGGTTTTCTAAAAGACTTTCAGCAGCGGTGGAGGGAAGAGAAGGGCTTAATGGCTGAGCCCTTTAGCCTCCAAACTTCCCTGCTGGTCTCTGCTGGGTCATGGTCAGCGACCAGTCGAGAAGCATTTCTCAAGGGTCCTCTTTGGGTGAGATCAGTCCGGGAGCAATCACAGGCCAGAGAAGAAGCTACCAGTGAGCTGGCTCTGTCACCTCTGCAAGTCGGTACAGAGGACTACATTTCTTTTTCTTCAGCCTAAAGCAGTTCCAACAGGTTATTTTTTTTAACAAAGAAAAAGATTTTGTGCATTGAGTCGGTCTGCTGCCAGCACACTGAGCAGAAAGCGGTGAATGATAGGGAGGCAGGTGGAGGGGATCTGGAGTCCAGGGACAGCCAAGTCTCCCAATTGTCCAGTCCGCACTTATCGCAGGCGTGCCTGGCAGAGACCCTTGGGGACCACAGGCCGGTCAGTGCTGAGACCTGACTGGCATCCAGATGCCCCACGCTGGAGTTAGACGGCTTAAGTGTCCACGTGAAGAAGCAGTGCAGAGAGTTATGAAAACAAGTCAAGGAAGCAGTTACAGTGCAGGTAGGCCAGGGCTCAGGCAAAAGCTGATGGTTCCGAGAAGACCCCAAGATCAAGATAAGAGCCGATCCTGGTCACAGAGTTAAATCGCTACTGAGCACGCTTAGTGAACCTCAGGCGTAGTAACTTCTCTGTCGGGGGGGGGGGGCAATGGCACAATTGTGGGCACAATAGGGCGGGAACAGGGGGCGTTCCAGAGGAACCTGGAAGGAACGGACCAATTCAGGCCTGGGAGGTTTCACCCCGAATTTAACTGCATAAAAGCCCGCTGACCTTTTTACTCACCCCTCCTGAAGACGGGTGGACCCCGCTTCTGGCCAGAAACGTCTAAATCCTATCGTAAACTTTCTTGATAGTGAATTTTTTGTGTCCAGCATATTTCTAACACCCAGCTGGATTTGGGGGAGGCTTAGACCATTGCCCAAGTGGAGCTTTGCTTGAAAGAGCCCCTGGTATTTTTTTCTTATCAACTTCCATGAAATGGGATTTAGGGAAGGAAGGGAGAGTGGTTTGCACGGCCTTTTTTCTTTTATGAAGTCCTCTGTTGGCTAGCCGCTCCTTTCTGAACCTTGAGTTAGTCACTGAGCTTCTCTGGGCCTCAGTTTCCTCATGTGTAAAATCAG